TATACAGCAGTATTTAAAAATAGAAATACATAAAATATTTTTACATTTTAATTTCTCGATGACATGAAATGATTATAAGAATGGATTGTAATTCCCTATTTACAATTTCTGTTTACCCTGAAGGTTTCTCTCTGGGAAAGGTGTCATGATTTCTCAAAAGTGACACTGGCTCAGAATTGCAACACTCCTGTCTCCCAGGGTCTGAGCCACCCCTCTCAGCTGATCGGCTCTGGGACTGTGACTGTCGGCATGCCATACATTCATTCCCCATGCCTCGCAGGGAGGCAGAAACTAAGTGAAGTTGACCACACAGAACCAGGGAGGTTTTCAGCAAGCAGCAGTACCCTCAGTAATGTAAACAAATCAGCAAATAAATAAATAAATAAATACCACACAGGGACCCCAATTAATCAGGATCTCTTGGCAAGGGGCCCAGGCATGGGTATTTTTCAGAAGCTCCCCAGGGGATTCTAATGTGCAGGCAACACTGAAAATCACAACCCTAATGGATTAATTTACTAAAGGGTCATTTGAATATGGCCTTTGAAAAGAGGTAAAATTAAAGTGGCGAGGATTTGGCTGATCAAGGCCAAGTGGATGCATGGCCCCAACCCTTATAAGAAAATAATTATGCAAAGAACATGAAAAGGGGAGGGGTGCTCCTGAAAAAGATAATGAGGTCAGAAGGTAGCCCTCCCGCCTACTCGTGATGGTAAAACGCACAGCGTTGGAGCAGGAAAATATCTATGGTAACAGCTTACAGAAAGACAGTGGCATTTCACAAAACATAAGCGTACCCAGTTTCAATGCTTATGTCAGAGTGCTAACGGTGCCCTGGGCATCAGAGAACCACTGCCCTTTCCATCAGATGATAAATCAGTTATGAAGGCTCTTAGCAAAACAAATTGTGAATTTGGTGTTAGTGAGGAATATTAAATATACTGTGGACTGCCAGCAGGGTGATCAAATCTGTGTTGCAAGAAATAAAACCAGAATGCTCCTTAGAAACCAAGATGGCAAGGCAGGTTCTTTGGTCACATTATCTGGAGGGATGGGTCTTTGGAGAAGGGCGTCGTATTTGGTAAGAGATCAGCAAAGAAGAGGAAGACCTTCAACAAGATGGCATGATGCAACGGCTGCACCGATGGCGCCACACCGTCAGGAGCATGGGGCAGCCCCCAGCCGTGGCTCCTCCTCTGGCAGAACCAACTGGCCAGCACCAGCAACAAAGACCACACTCCAATCACAATGTATGGCCTGGCCAGGCAGTATCCCTGGAAGTTTGGAAAGAATTTCAAATGGATTTCTGGAGAGCATTTTTAGACATCCTTAAACAGATTTACAGAGGGCAAACCTGAAGGGGCCCCAGGTGTCTTCTGGTCCCTCATTTTCATTTCATCTGCCAGGAAATGAATCTCAACTTGCTCTTGGTCACACAGGGGGCAGAGTTAAACGTACGGACAAATTCTGTAAGCTTCAAATATCCCTGAAAAATCTCTGGAATTTCTGGCTTGGAAGCGTGACTTGGAGCACAAATAGCTCCATTGTTGTTCTGAAGGAGGGCTGGTGACAACAGATGGATGCATGATGAAATCATTATTTTACTAGTTACCGGTGAGTGATGCCAGGCATGTGCTGACAAGTATACATTGACCAAGCTTAACCCTGACTTGCTGTTGTTAGGCACCACTGAGTCGGTTCCAACTCAGAGCAAGCCCGCGTACCGCCGAATGAAACCATGCTCAGTCCTGGCCATCCTCCCTATCGTTAGGTCGAACGCATTATTGCAGCCACGGTGTCAATCCATTGTGTCCAGGTTCTTCCTCTTTTCCACTGCCCTTCTACTTTACCCAGCACTGTGTCCTTTGTGAGGGACTGCTCTCTCCTGAGAACTTATCCATATCTTTCAATATTGCAACTGGAGGCTTGACTTCTTTTTTCTTTGATGGTTTTCCATTTAAGATATGCTGACTGTGTCTTTCCTTTGTGGTTTTCTCAGTCTATGCCATTGCACATTGTATTATAACACAGTGCCTTCCATCGCTGCTCTTTGGAACTTTCTGATCGACTCCCTTACTTCCTTATTTCTTCTATTTGCCTTTGCTATTCTAAGATTAAGAGCAAGTTTCCTTAATAGTCCCTGAAAAACCAAAACTCCTGCTATGGACGGAATGCTGACCCATAGTGACTCTACAGAGTAGAACTATTTCATAGAATTTCCAAGGTTTCTGGGGCTTTAAATCTTTACAGAAGCTGACAGCCTCATATCTCTCCTGAGCAGCAGATCGTGGGTTTGAACTACCCAATCTTTATGTTGAGTTGATAGAAAATGCTTAATTCTGTGGACTAGTCTGCAAGGCCTTTGTTATGCCAGTGTTACTGCTGAGACCACTGAGGTCACATGAATACTACGTGGACAATTCAAGATTTAAATCTAGTTCTAGCCTGAGGGGCCCTAATAATTCCACAGGACGACCCAGCCACCATCAGGGACACCACAGCTAGGTGAGAGGAAACTGCGTACCACTCTCTGGGCTTGTCCTGATGGCCTGAGCTCTCTGCCTGAGCACTTATCCTGGGACTCATCAGCCCAGCCATTCACTACTTCTCCTTTTGAGGTTATAGCCAATAGAACTTCACCACCTTTCTTTTTTTTTGGTTTTGTTTTTAGCCTCACTATATTAGATTTATTTTTCTGGTGAGGAATTATTTATTTCACCTGTTTTTAATGGAGTTTCATTTTGTTACCTAGCATAATGTTCACTCCTGTGGTTTAGAAATAAGAAAATACTGTGAAGCTCAGTCAGCGTCCTTAACAGATGTTCAGCATGTCTGCTGGTGTAGTTCTAGTAATGCATCACTTTCACACATCTTAGCCCTGGCCTGCCAGCATCGCTATGCCCATGCCAAATGCTTTCAGATACCATGCAATAAGCAAAAGCTGAAGTTAGGTTAAAACCACCCAAGTCATCTTATTCTAATTCTTGAGTGCATTAACATCTGGACTTCAGGAGGTACCACCTGATCTCAGGAAAACATGATGTAAAATCTATGCAGTCAGGAGAGTGCACATCTTCTCTGCTTTAAGAACCTGGACTGTGTAAAAATCTGAATGTTATTATATCAACTTGAACAAGTTGTGCAGTACTTTGAAGATGCTTCATTTTAAAACAGAAGTTCTCAACCTGTGGGTTGCAACCCCATTGGGGATCAAATGACCCTTTTACAGGGGTCGCCCGATTCATAACATTAGCAAAATTATAGTTATGAAACAGCAATGAAAATAATTTTGTGGTTGGGGGGTCACAACAACATGAGGTACTATATGAAAGGGTGGCAGCATTAGGAAGGTGGAGAACCACTGTTTTAAAGAATCCAACCAAACACTCACCGCTATCGAATCAATTCCAACACGTAGCAACCCTGTTAGACAGAGTGGAGCTGCCCGTGTGGGTTTCTGACTATAAATCTTTATAGTAGAAAGCTTTCTCCCACAGATTGCTAGGTGGATTTGAACTGCTGACCTTGTGCAGGCCAGGACAGGCTAACCCATAACCCATTACACCATCAAGGATAGCTTATCCAAAAGTTCCTTTTACTAGGTAATTCCCCTTACTGTAAAACAAAAGAAAACGAAGAGTAAAATGAACATGTGATTTTGGTAAGAGCTACTTCCATAACAAATCAAGTTGCAAAATATTCAAGAGCTGTACTTAAAACTCATTGCATTTGGATATTGCAAGGGCTTTTGCTCACTTTAAAATGAGCAGGACGTGTAAGAGTGGGTCAGGGCAAGGGAAATTCCATGGAGGACTCTCAATATAGTTATAACTGCCTGCCCAAAAGGGGTTCTCATGCAGTCTGTCAGGTACTATTTAGGAAATTCTCAAATATGGCAGCTTGGATTCCATACAAACAAACAAACAAAAAACATAATCAAGTCTGACAGACCCTCACCCCACTTGACTTGCCTTCAGGCAAATGGAGGAAGGGGACTGTGCCAGGTGACCTTTCAAAGTCCCCATCAATTGTATATTCTGTGAATGATTGGTCATGGCTTCCTTCTTCGTATCCTTGTTGCCATTGAGTTAGTCCCGACTTTCTGTGGCTGCAGGTGTGTCAGACTAGAACCTTGATCTCTAGGGAGTTTGATGGCTCATTTTTCAGAAGTAAATCGCCAAGCCTTTCCTCCGTAGGGCCTCCAGGTGAACTTGAATCTCCAAGCTTTTTATTATCAGTCAAATGTGTTAACCATTTCTAGCACCTGGGATCTGATTCTCATAATAGTGAGGGGCACCAAACACGATATAATGTTTGAAATCTTGACAGGCTGTCAGAGGTGTGGGTTTCCCTGTTTGATGCATTGCAATGCAGTTTTGTTGGACTGAGAGCCAGGATCAGAGACTAGGGATTGGAAAGTCTATGGTATAAAACCCAAATGAAGCAAAGTGCCAAGGCTCAAAATGATTTGCAGCATCACATGGTTTAGAGCTGGTAGTTGAAGAGACCCAGCGAAGGAGGGCGGGTGGTCGAGAGAGCTGGTAAAAGTCTCCTCTGTGCTCAGACGCCTGTAGCTCCACATAAGTACAAAGGGAATGCCTTTTCCCTTTATGCACCTCCTCTGACCTGTGCTGTTATAAATGGTCATTAGCAAATGACACCTCTTCCCCCGAGAGAGAGAATACCGATTTTAACAGGTAATGAAAATATGAATCAACAAAAACTCTAGCATGCTCCTACCAGTGCCCCAACCCTGCCAGCAATGGGCACACGGAAAGAAAAACCAAAGAAGGAAGGATCCTCTTGGAAAAATATTTTGAATGATAAACATTATGTGAAAACTGTAGCAAAAAGACAGCTATCAATACCAAAAGTCCTATCATCTGGAGAACTAGAGAAAATGTACCATGGACAGAGCTAGACATAGAGTGATGTGGAAATAAGTCTACTCCGTGTCAATTTATTAAATGCAACTTTCTTTCTCTCTTTCTTTCTTTTAGATAAAAAACCTCTTCATGAAATAAAACCCCAAAGTAAGTCGTCTTTGCTTGTGTGGGTACGATCCGTTCTCCCTTGTGCTCCTTGTTGTTGCTCTGGGTTATAGCCGTCAGACAGAACTGAAGTTCGTGTGGAAGACCCGGGGCCTTGGGGCCTCCTCAGTGAGTTTAGAGTCACATCTGAGTGCGTTTGAAATACAGGGATAGCACCTCCCTCCTCCCTCCCTGAGAGCACAAGTAAATCTCTCCTCAGGATTCTTTCTTTCTACCTGTACCAATGTCACCTAATATACTTATTTCTGAGATTAATGACATTATAATTAATAACGATCTGCCAGTGCATTCTTTGGCCAAAGACTAACTGCAAGCCTGTCTGGGAGGAGGGGAAGCGGCATCAGAATGCAAATTGGGACTCTTAGCTCTCATCGGATCAACGGCAACTGGGCAGATTAGGAACCAACAACCCACGGAGAAATACTGTAAACTGAGACTTGGGGTCTTGGTGCTGCCCCGAGCAGCTGGCCATGCATTGGCTGGCTTCCTGGAGAAGCTTCGCATTATCTCTACTTCATATACCTCGCTGATTTGGGGGATTGAACACTGCCAGGATGCTTGTCAGCTTGGCAGTTATTTCTTTGTTTCTCAACCCTGGCTGCCTTTTAGAATTACCTGGAGACAGCTTTCACTCCTAGGCTTGACCTCTGACATACTACATCAGAATTTAGGGTGGGAAACAGGGTTAGAATTAGGAAGACCCCAGGTTAGTACAAACTGTTAACACCCTCAGCTGCTAATCAAAAGTTTGAAGCTTCAAGTCTACCCAGAGGCGCCTAGGAAGAAAGACCAGATGAGTTAGTGGAAAACTCAGCCTTGGGAAGCCCTTTGAGCACAATTCCACTCTGAGATCCATAAGGCTGCCAGGAGTTCAGATGGACTCAATAGCAACTGCTTACTGGTTTAAAACATAGGAATCTCACTTGGAGGTGTGTGTGTGTGTGTGTGTGTGTGTGTGTGTGTGTGTGTGTATTTCCTTTACTTCCTCAAGGGATTCCAATATGCAGCTCAGGTCAGGAACTATGTCTGAAAAAAGTGTTTCTTAAAAGGGTGTTCATAGACTGCCTATATTAGAATCTCAGGGTAGGGTCATATGATGAAATATGACCCACCTCAGAATAAATGAATTAGGATTTCTGGGAAAGTTGGAGCCTCTGAGCACCTACAATCCAGTAAGCTCAATCCTGCACTCAGAAAACACACAGAAAGGAAAGCACAAGGCTTTCCGAGCACCAGCATCATGATCCTTTTAGCAGGAGTAAGATCAGGTGAGGCCTGACTGGTTTGGGCTGTCAAATTTGTGGAAGATCACCCTGTCCTCTGTAGTGTAAAAGGAATGACTTTTTAAATTTTATCCCCAAAGATATTACACACTTTCTTTCTTTAAAGATTTCACTGTAAATTGGGGGATGCTTCACAGAGCACATCATGTTTCTAGCCAACAAGTCATAGACGTTTGTTTCATCTCATTGATTGTAATCCCCACAATCAAACATCATTAATCCCACTTTCTCCCACTGTTTCTTGTTCCCATTTTCCTTCTTTCTTACCTTTTCTGAAATCTGTCCTATAAATACTGCTGTTTTGACCTCAAGTGGTGGATTATTCTAAAGTGCCCACCCATGCCTCGCCTGCAGCATTGCTCCCCTGACAGACCTGTCTACTGTTTGGCTAAAAACTGAGCCAAGTGAGTGAGTTCATTTCCAGACCAGTGGGGTGACTACGTATCATAGTCTCAGGGGCTCCCCCAGGCTCTAGCTGACCTGGGGTCAGCTGGGTGATTCTGGGCTCTGGCCCACATTCTTCTTTCACTCTCTCTGGGACCATCTCATCATGGGATCCCTTTCAGAGCACTTGGTAGTGATAGCCAGCAACCATCTAATTCCTCTGGTCTCAGGGCTATGGAGACTAATGGTCATATGGTCCATTTGACCACTGGACTAATAGTTTTAAAAGGAAAGACTTTTGATCTTTAACTTTCTGTGGGAAATAAACTTCATATCCTTCAGGAGAGTTAACAGCGCTGATTAACAAACTCCTTTGCAAGTAGTTAAGACTGTTTGAGGATAGACAACCAAGGAATACCTCAAGACAGGGACCCAAAGACATGTCAGAAGAAGGGTTTTTTCAAACCCCACTGTTCACCCTTCACGAAGCTGCTTCAGGCAGATGATCTCTATAAGGATGCCTTTACTTGTGGAACCTGAAGACTTAGTAAAACAGTTTCTTAACTTCTTTTCCATGCTATCTGTTCCCCATAGAGGGATCACTAGTACTTAAGTAACAGTCATTTTCTATTATGCATGTTTCATTTTGAACTCACAAGGATAGAAGGAATGAGCGCCCTGTGTGGGTGGAGGAGAGAAGAGGCGTATACTTTCACATGCGCAGAGTGGGCGCCAGCATAGGACTGGTCACTAAACGAGGCCTGCGGTTATGGCCCGCCCTCTGCACAAGTGCTCCAGTGAGTGGAGTACCTGCCATCCCTGGTTCGGATGGGCAGCACCAGTGAGACCATGCTTGTGAGTAAGGTGACCAGTTTGAGTGCCTCAGAAATGTATGGATGTGTTTTTAAAATTAATTTCACACTTAGTTTGTGAGCTCTGTGCCAGTCTAATTTGGTTACATCTGTACTTCCAGCCATAAACCCCACAGTAGCTAATTCTAGTCTCCAAGGACCTTCTGAATTCGTTTTTGCTTAGGATTCTCGCTCCTGAGCACCATGCTTAATTGCTGGATACTGCAACAGAATCGCTTAAACCATTTTAATTTGTGATTTCCTAAAAATAAAACCTTAACAGAATCAATGTGATTGCAAAAGGCTCCCAGAGGAATCCAATCGGGGTTCTGTAAGCTGCGTGGCTAGGCGTGCGTGATACAAATTCAGGCTGTGGCTGCTCAGTGGAAGAGGGGGTTTAGTTTAAGACGACATGAATCATCACTGATGCAAAATCAAAGTCAATTATGAAGATAATTGAGAAACAACCTGTTCCTATATATAGCTGTGTGCACGCTCCTCAGCAAGGCCTATGGAGGGAAGACATCACTCAGTGCCTGGCGAGCAGGCCTCCTGGAGGAAGCCTTGAGTTGTGGGGAGGTGTAAGAAAAGTGAAGCCTTAAGATATCTGTTGGCAAATCATAATGACAAACTGGGGGAAATATGTGCACTGCATAGCTCATGAAAGCACTTATTGTAAATGAGATAATTTAATCAATTATGTTTCCTAATGTACTAAACCGAATGTTTCATTTTCTGCTTCTGCACATCTTAAATTATCTTCAGGTGCTTTATGAGATTTAATCATAGTTAATAGAAACTTCATTACCATCAAATGTGCTTTCAATAAATGTTGTGTAACAATGTCAGGAGGTGCAGTAAAATATAGTAGGTTCTGAATGGCAAACATGCACACACACCCCCAGTCAGACTGAAAAGTGGTTGTGCTCAGACAATGAGACTCCACAAGGCCTGGGGGATTCCGCTTTCTGCAAGCCTGGAGCTCCTGGTGAGTGGCTAGTTCAGCAAATTCACCTTCGGGATGAAAAAGATATAAATTCTCCCTGGAAAATAACTCCGCACCAAATATTATCTCTTCATCTCCTCACACAGTTGTTTTGTTCTTAACAGAGATGAGTGCTAAGCATTAAGCCAAGGAATAGTTTTGTAGCTCGCTACCTACAGGACATCACTTAAGCATTCCCTACTAATCTTCATCTCGATTTGTCAAAACT